CCTTTCTTATGGTCCAACTTTCACAGCCATACATTGCAACTGGGAAAACCATAGCCTTGACGAGACGCCCTTTTGTTGGCAGAGTGATGTCTCTGCTTCTTACTATGCTGTCTAGATTTGCTATAGCTTTCCTCCCCAGGACCAAGCAAACTAAATCGCCCTAAGCAAAGTGCAGGATAGATTGCTTGTGGGTTCGAGTTCTGCTACAAATGGGCCGGGTGCTGCTAAATGTCAGCCCTGCCCCAAATGTGGGCTTCTAGGTAAAAACGATCCTTAACTCCAATGATAAAGGAATTATTTATTAGAAGTCAAGTGAATTTGCAGTAGCGTAAAGCCAGAACTCAAGAGTTCGGGCCAGGCTTTTGCCACTTAAATTCCCTCTCTGGCTCCCTTCCTCCCCATTTTTGGGGGGGTCTTTCCGTTGTCCAATCAAATCTAAAAGAGATGTTTTGGAAGCAGTCGCTCTACGTGTTGGCATTCCTCTCCCAGGGAAACGACCTCGGTCAGGTTCTCACAGAGAAGTCTCCTCACAGTTCAGTTTCATTTTCCCCCAGGCCAGGGGTCAGCAACCTTAAACACTCAAAGAGCACACGATAGCACGCACACTTGTGGTTTTAGCACCCGAGGTGAAAAAGGTTCGCCATCACTGTCCTAGGGTGCCGTCCTTTTTCCTCTACCTGTCCTAACTGAAATCCCTATAATTGTGGAGGTGACCAGCGCTAGGGAGCCGCAGCAGAGGGATGAAAGAGCCACATGCGGCTCCCGAGCTGCAGGTCGCCTGCCCTCTGTCCGAGGCCCTCTCCCTCCCTTCCAGCCTCCCCCCTGGGTTCATGGCAGACTGGCAATGCGGTGGCAGTTAATTTGTTCAGGCAGTGCAGGAATCACCCACGAAAAGTGGGGACATGGTGAAGGTTCTGGAGCCATTGCGTGAAATAAGGAAGAAAATCTCTTACCGAAACAGAATTTATGAGGATGGCAACAGGCAAAGACGCTCACCAGCCTGCAACCAGGCCAGGCTGGAGAACATTCCAGAAGGGGATTATGGAGTCCTGAACAGAGATTGTTTGCTCCGATGGTCCCATGGTGGCAAATTTCAATCGAAGTATTCTCAGTTGATTAATGTTGACCATGCTGTGTCATCTGGAAATAAACCCCATTGATCTCAGCAGAATTTGCACCTGTATGCAAGAAACGCAGGATCGCAATAATCAATAAATAATGATTCATTTAGTATTGGTTCAGGTCAGTCTAATAATCTCTTCCTTTTTTAGTTTGCAGATTTGTCGTCTTTCAAGAAAGCCAGATGTCTGTATGTATGGCCTCCCTTCCCTTTCCTATGGGTGGGTGGGTGCCTGAGCTTGGGCGGCTAAAACTACATTTTCTGTTTCTGGGTTACCTTTGCCAGATCTGACACTCATATTCATTCGCTCTCTCGCTCTCTCGCTCTCTCCCTTCTCCCCCTCTTTCTCCCTTTCATTTTCTCTCTTGTATTCTCCCTCCCACTCCCCCTCTTTTTCCCTCTCCCTTTCTCCCTCTTTTCCTCTCTCTCTTTTGCCCTCCCTCTCCCTTCCCCTCTGCCTCTATCTCTTCCTCACTTTCTCTTTCTCCCTCCCTCTCCCCTTCTCTCTCTTTTTCTCTCACTTCCTCTCCCTCTTTTGCCTCCTCTTTCTGCCTCTCCCATTCTCTCTTTCCCTCACTTTCTTTCTCCCTCTTTGACTCTCTCTCTTCCTCTCTTTCTCCCTCCTTCTCTCCCTTTCTCTTTCTCTCTCATTCGCTCCCTCTCTCTCGTTCTCTCTCCTTTTCTTTCTCCCTCTTCCCGTCCTCTCTCTCTCTTAATCTCTCTTTCTTCCTCTTTTTCTCTCCCCCTCCCTGGCTCTCCCTCCCTTTCTCTCCCTCCCCCCCCCCCCTTTCTCCTTCCCACTTACAGCTGGGAGTATCCACACAGTTCCAGTAGCCCCCCTGACCCCAAATCTCATTCGCTTCAGAAAGGGCGGCTCTTCCTGAAGAAAGTCAAGGACGAGAGACTCGCAGGCGGCCCTCACCCTGTCAAGTGGTTGTATGAACCCGCGGAAGGCGGCCGGGACATTGGGAGGCCCCAGAAGAAGGCGGAAGCAGCCAACAACATTGCCCGAAAGGTGAACGCGAAATCCAAAATCGGCAAAAAGAGCAAACCTGTTTACTGAGGCACCCATATATCCCTGTGGTACGCACGCACGCGTGTGTGGATGTGTGTGTGTGTGGCTAGAGAGATCGATATATCTACGTATATTCTAACATAATTCGCTTTTGAACCAGAAGCTGGAGATTCCCCAGAAGGTCCCTCTGGAGCTCTGCTGAGGTTGGCCTGGAAGGTCCGTGGCAATTCCAGGGTGCAGCATCTGCACATCGAAGGGGGAATAATTAGGGGGACTGGCTTCCCGGAAGCTGCTCATAGCCAACCATCATCCTCATGTCTTTCCCTACTCGTTTGGGCAAGGCCTTGATATATTTAAGAGATAACCGAGATTGCATATGTAAATGGCCTCATTTCCATGTGACTTTGAATGAATGGCTTATTTTCAACAGCTGATTTCAGCTGAAGTTCAAAACCAACTGGGAGCCTTTCCATTTGCTTCCAAGCTTGTTCCTGCGGTTACCCAGAATATCACAGTGAGATACTTTGGTAAGCCATCTCAACGTAGCTCCTTCTCCTTCAATCCATCTGGAAGAATCCATTCAGCCTGGCACCCTGAACATTTGCTTTTAATTGTTGTGAGGGCTGGGCAGGGGTGGGTCCAAGCAATGTTGCCCCTAACCCCTTCCCAGCTCCATCGATTCGCCATGACTAGTGTCTGTGAGACCCACGTCGACACACCTTTGTGTGTTGCATGTTGTTGAGATGCTCCCCTGTCGCTCCTTGCAGCACCGAGGCTATGCGAAAGGGAAGTGCGTAATACATTGTCTATGGAGGGTTCCTGAAATCTTCCCCCTAGTTGTCAAAGTTTTGGAAGCTCCTCGCATGGGGCTGTTCTGGCCTAGGCTTCCCCAGCAGCACAAAGCTGAGTCCTCATCCCGGTAAACCCCTTTTTATTTAATTTACAGTGAATTCCTCTCCAGCAAAGTCTTTCCACTCCCACAGTCTTTTGAGATAGTTCACAATTACCGTCCTTTATCAGGCTTGGAGAGTCGCCAGGATGATATCTTTCAGACACTGCAATACTTGGCAAGAATGCAGGAATGAACTAATTGTTTCCTGCAAAAAACCCTCTTCTTTTATTTCCTTTGGGAGGGGCCATTCACCAACCACCTGTGGCCTTACTCCCAAGTTGACCCTTGTTCCTTAGCTGTTCCCTTCATCTGACAACTCTGCGCATGCGCACACTGGGAACAGGCTCCAGCTGTTCTTCTGCCTCACTGATGTCTGACTCTGAAGGCAGCTGATAACTATCATACGGCTCTGGTCCCCTCTCTGCCTGCAACACAGAGCCCCCATCAAAGCCTTCCCCAGACTCCAGGACTGGCCCAGGTTCCTCCCCAACCTCCTCACTGCCCGAATCTGTC